GTTCTCCTCCTGACTATACCACTCTTAAAGTTTTTGGTTTTGCTTGTTTTGTTCTACTCCAGCCTCATGAACACACTAAACTAGAACATCGTTCTCGTCTTTGCTGTTTTCTAGGATATGGTATAGAACATAAAAGGTATCGTTGTTGGGATCCTATCTCTAAGCGCCTTCATATTTCCCGTCATGTGGTCTTCTGGGAACACAAAATGTTCTCTACTCTTTCCAAGTTTCACCTACCACAGTCCACCCACTCACCGGTCTTTACTGATATTTCTATAGATCTATTTTCTGATTACTTTGATGCAGATTCTGGCCCCATGCTTCCACAGTTGCCTACACCTATCGTTCATCCTGAGGATTTTGTGTCTGTTGATGGCCCTACGCCTTCTCCAGATCCGGTGGAGGTTTCTCTAAAACCTACTTCCATTGAGGTTCCTCCTCCACGTGAACGTTATTCTACACGGGTAAGGCAACCTTCTGTTCTTCTCCGTGATTATATTGTTGGTTCCACTGCCTTTTGCTCTCATGAACCTACTTCTTATCGAGAAGCTTCTTCTAACCCTCTTTGGCAACAAGCTACGATTGATGAACTGCAGGCTTTCGATCAAACTCATACTTGGGATGTGGTTGATCTTCCTCCTGGAAGGCGTACTGTTAGTTGCAAATGAGTTTACAAGATCAAAACTCATTCTAATGGTTCCATTGAGTGTTACAAAGCTCGCCTTGTCGCCCGGGGATTTAGTCAAGAATATGGGATTGACTATGAGGAAACATTTGCTCCTGTTATCCCAGTTAGGCAACCCAAGAGTGGGGGTGAATTGGGTTATTAAAAATTTCACAATATTAAAAATAACACAATATTCAAAATTTGAATAAATAAAAAAACAGAATAATAATTATCATTATAAAAGTAGGAAAGATAGGGAGAGAAAATCAAACACTGCGATTTATAGTGGTTCGGCACGCCAGGCCTACGTCCACTCCTCAAGGAACCTCCTTGAGAATTTCTTTACTATCAATTGAATAAATACACCACCAAGCTTGTGGATTTGGCACAGGACTTACTCTTATCTATTGAGCCTCACTCAACAATAAATGCCTTACCCTTACAAAATCTCTCACAAAAATAAGTAATAAGAATAAGTGGTACTTGAACCCACTGTTACAATAATTCTCTCACAAAGAGTAGATATGAAAGTGTAAGAACAAAGGCTAGACTTAGATCTGAAAGTTAAAGAACAGAATACTCAGAATTTTAGAGCTCACAGAAAATTTTTCTCTTCAAGTTCTTGATGTTTTTCTCCATACACAACACTTCTATTTATACACAAAAATATACCCGTTGGACGCTCCTTGCTGACGTCATGGCTTACATAAGCACGCTCCTGACGTCATGGCTTACATAAGCACACTCCTGACGTCATGGCTTACATAAGCACGCTCTTGATGTCATGGCTTACATAAGCGCACTCCTTGATTTGAAATAATCAGCAAATGTTAATAATTAAAAAGATAAAAGTAAGACTAATTTTTTCTTTTCCTTTTGTTATATTATTTTCAAACATGGAGCCACCGTTTTTGTAGACAATTTAATACAAAGTTCACAACTTCCATCTATATATATATATATATATACATATACATATATATAACTCCATCTTTTTCTTCTTGTTTGATTATAATATGATATAATTAATTTAGTGTAGTGTGATATGATATAATCAATATAGTGTAAAAAGTTTAATAGCGCACGCGATGTATTCTATTTATATTATATGCATTATATATATAATGTTCTAATAAAATATTTGCATACAGAAAAATCTCTTTAATAATATTTATGATGGATCTGAAAATATATGCCCTCTTTAAAATATTGTATATGTTGTAGAAATTTTAAACTAAATATATCCTACCACTACACATTTGGATATATCACTTTTGTCAAAAGAAGACAACTCATTAATATCATATTTGTCAAGATAATACAACCAATCAATCATTTTAATCAATTTTAATTTTGTCAAAAAGTGAATAGTGATCAGCCTAAATTTTCAAAAAGTGAATAGTAAAGTTTTCAAAAATATTATTATTATAATATTTAACAAATATATATATATATATATATTTTTAAAAAGATAATATTTTGTGTCAAATAATATGTATATTAAAAAAATCCAAACTGTTACAAATAATATTTTAGATATCATCAAAATTAAATAATATGATTAAATGTGATTGTAGTTAGTTCAATGTGATTGTAGTTAGTTCAATGGTTCTTTTTTTTAAATGTGATTGTAGTTAGTCAATGGTTCTTTTTTTCATTTATTTATTTATTTCATTATGGAAAAAATGTGATGTGATTGTAATTTGTTCAATGGTTCTTTTTTAATGTGATTTAATCTTTTATTTACTATTTTAATGGTTTTTCTTTACAATTATTTATGAAAAAAATATGATTGTAGTTAGATAGAATAAAAATATTTGTGATTTGATTTTATTTTTAAAGTATCAATTATTGATGATGATTAGATTGTATTTTGAAAAAAAAAATTTAATTGATTTTTTTTACTCATTGTGTTTTTTGAAAAAAAATTATTGTGTTTTTTTAACTATCAATTCACTTAATTTGTAATTTGATTTTTAACTCACTGTGTTTTTTGAAAAATAAAATGGATTGTACTCATTAGGGTCGCATAATATACCAATTATTGATGATGATTAGATTGTATTTTGACCCAAAAAAATTGTAATTGATCTTTTTAACTCACTATGTTTTTTGAAAAATAAATTATTGTATTTTTTAATTATCAATTGATTTAATTTGTGATTGATTTTTTAAATTATTGATGATTATTAGATAGCATTAAAAAAATTGTGATTTGTATGATTGTAGTTATCTCATTTTCTAATTTTTTGATTTTTTTAAAAAAAAAATTAACCTCAGTATTTATTAACTTCTCTCAACCCACAAGATTTTTTGATTTCTCTCATAATTACTACAATACATTTTCCAAAACAAATAATTTGTATATTAAAAAAAACTTAAAACAAATATAAATATCTATATCTATATCTATCTATTTATCTATCTATCTATCTATATCTATATCTATACTATATATTAAGCAAAAGAGGATTTTTAATCCCAAGCCTTGTGAGAGCTCCAATTTCTCAATCTAAATTTCCTGATTTTTTGATTTAAAAAAAAACCTTAGCTTTGTCTTCTCTCAATTTCTAAGTCTTACCCTCATAATAATACTTTAATGTATTAAAAACAAGCATAAAAAAAATTCTTTGAAATCCAACACATATGAATTTCTTGAAAAGTCTCAACACATATGATTATTATCCTTCATAATAACATTTTAATGCATTAAGAACAAGCATAAAAAAAATTCTTAAAAAGTCCAACACATATGATTATTATCAAAATATTAAACTTTAATATAATATAATAAAGAAAAAAAGAAGGCATTTAAAAAAAAACATTTAAAAATCACAATTCACATATATAGATAATTGTAAATATATAAAGGAAAATGGAGTTTCTAAATCCCGAGCCTTACTAGAGCTCCAATCTCTCAATCTTAATTTTCTAAATTTTTGATTTAAAAAAAAAATCTCTGCATTTATTGATTTGGTCAAAATCCCTTGATCAGCATTTATTAACTTTTTCCAATCAATATGCCTGCATTTATTGATTTAGTCAAAATCCCTGATTAACATTTAAAATTCTCTCATACAAATAATTATAGATACAGCCCGTGCATAGTTACTGCAATAGCCTTTTTAATTTCTCCTGTACACTATGATTAGTGATAAGATTGCTAAATTATTTCTATAAAAAATCTTAAAAAACATAATTTATATATTAAAAAAATTAAAACAAATATAAATATCTATAATTATCCCGTACATAGTACGGGTGATAGGCTAGTACTATATATTAAGCAAAAGGGGGTTTTTAACCCCAAGGGAGCTTCAATATCCCAATCTGAATTTTTTAAATTTTTTATTTAAAAAAAAAAAACTCAGCATTTATTGATTTGGTCAAAATCTCCTGATCAGCATTTATTAACTTTTTTCAATCCATATGTCTTTTCACATGCCTGCATTTATTGATTTGGTTAAAATCTCTTGATTAACATTTAAAATCCCCTCATACAAATAATTATAAATACAACCCTATGTATAGTTATTGCAATACCCTTTTTAACTTCTCTCATACACTATGATTAGTGATAAGATTGTTAAATTATTTTTATAAAAAATCTTGAAAAATATAACTTATATATTAAAAAAATCTAAAATAAATATAAATATCTATAATTATTTCGTACATAGCACGAGTGATAGACTAGTAAATAATTATTATAAGACCAATTAGTCATTATTGCATATCGCTTAACTCTGGCTTACACTCACTCTCTCTTGTGATTTAATGGATTAAAGGATCGCGTGGCAAACAAGTAACTGATCAAGCTCAATTCTTGTATTTGATCGCATCAAATGAAAGTGAAAGATGCTTACCACGTTACAACCATGAAAACGATCATGCTACGTAGCTCGAATGTCGCGGCTCGAAACGCGGCTCGACACCAAAACGACGTCGTTTTGGTGTCGATTTTGTTTTTTTTGTTTTCCCCTGGTTTTGCAGAACGAAGAAGAAGAAGAAGGGAGAAGAAGAGGAGGAGGAGGAGGAGGAGGAGGAGGGGGGGGGGCCCAGGTTATATTTTAAGTACATATCAAACACATACTTAATTTTCAACTATGGCCTCGTTTGGGAACAGACTATTTTAATAATTTTTTGACTTTTTACGAAAAGATATGAAAAAAATAGAGAGATAATATAACTAATTTTAATTAACTTTTTGACTAAAATAATCAGTCCCCAAATGATGCCTATGTTTCCGAATTAGGAAAACGTGTGCACTCTTCACAGTTGGGGTGCAACTCGGGCGGGTTCGGTCGGGTTGGGAGTCTGCCCAAGCCCGACTGTTGACTAAAAAGCCCTAAAACCCTCACTTTCTCTGTCAAACCCCCAAATTCCAATGTCGAGCGATCGCGCCGGCGACGGTGACGACAATGACAAGGATACGGCGGCGGTGGCGAAGACGGCGGGGTTGGTGGTGTTTTCCGGCATCGCAATGAGCATCCTCAAAGCCCTTGTTAACCCTCTTAGCAAACCCAACCTCCACACCAACCACAACTACAACGACAATGAGACCAAACCATTTGGTGAGTCAGCTCAGGCTGTTCAGCAACACCACTCTGTCTCTCCCCAAGAACCCATCATCAAGGTACTTCCAATATTTCTCACACACCCATCATCATCATCATCATCTAAGATACTGCCTAATCCTTTATCAAATTTTAAAATTTGGTGAAAATAAGACCGATCCATTCGTCAAATCAGGTATGAATCAAAATTTTCACCAATTTCCAACAACCCTTTTTGACTTAAGTTTGATGAAATTCTTCAAAAGATGGAAGTTTTGGAAATGGTTTTTTTTTTTTTTAAACTTGAATTGATGAAATGATGTTTTTGGGATAGGTTAATTATTTTTAAAAAGATTTGATGAAAATTTTGATTTGGAGTGAGCTTAAATCAAGTATTTGGTATAAATTCTAGAACAAATTTGATTAAATTTAAAAATAAATAAATAAATAAAAATGGGGTGAAGGGCTGGAGATGCTTATGTTGTTGGATTTGGGTTGTTTGTTTGTTCTGATACGTATGTGTGGGTAATAAATGTATGTAGAGAGTCTATAGACTCACCCATATATGTTGTTGGATTTGGATTATTTGTTTGTTTTGATAGAAACCCATCACTTCTGTGGAGCAAACTGTGCCAGAATCTTCTACGACAACGATAGAGATTGTAAGGGGAGATACCCTTTGGGGTCTTTCTAGAAAATATGGGGTATAATTCATATTTACTTGCATTCATTTCTTTCTACATTTTTATAGATTTCCTGTTTTAATGTTTGATTTTGGGTACTGTTTTGAATGTTGTTTTCATTTTGATTTGAGTGTAGGTTTCTATTGAGGAAATTAAAGAGGCTAATGGGCTTACTGGGGACACCATCTATGCTGGCAAGAAACTTATTATTCCCTGATATGATATATCATCTTGCACTTGATATTTGTCTGTAATTTTATCTTGGCTTTAGGCTGTAACAAATGTGTCTTATGAGAAAGAAAAAAAATTGGTCCCAGAAGTAGTGTTCTTGGTTGATCCACCTGTTTTCAAACTCATATGATGTAGCAAATGGTGATTTTTGAAGTAACACAGATTATCCACAGGATGTCTTGTTGTATATCTTGTGTGATAACATAAATCAAATACATTCATATATTTAACAATCTGAATTTCATGCTGGAAATTATACATAGATAGAATAGAAATTCATAAAAAATAAAATTGCAGAATAAAACAAATCGAAGCCTGCACTAAACACTATCCTTAAAACAGATTCGTCGCCTCATTGGTTGGGTGTTGGAGGTTGTTCGACTTCTGTCTCCTAAGATACGACGGTTGGACCAGCTATGCAATGCACCAACTGAATAGTTTTGGCGAACAGAATTTTACAGCACTCTCTCACAGGAAAAATATAAAATAAACTGGAAAACTTTCTAGTGTAGAAAGCTGAAGGAGAGGGTCTCCTTTTATACACATGAAGAGAGAGGAAGAGGCTTCCCTGCAACAAATGCAGGAATTAATTCTGCATTAACCATAATTAATTCTGCAAAACTGATGGGTTTAATTTATCATCAATAGAGGAGACTAGGGTTTGTGTGCATATTTCTGTAGTCCACACATTTGACTTGGCCCAAAAAGATTAAGATGGGTGGGCCAAGCCCAACCTCCACACTCTGTCCATTCCAGCAAGCCCAAGCCCAAGCACCATGATCCATGGATTAGGGACCAGGCCCCGGTCTGGTCCATTCGGGGACGGGCAGCACGCGCACTTGTGACAATTTTTGCATAACTAACTTGGATCATAGTCTTGGCCCAGGTCCATTCTTAAAGCATCTATAACTCCCTTCTTTCAAAAAATTTGGATGCCTCAAAGGGCTTGCACCTTTATGCAAAAAATGAATTTTAAATACCCATCAATGTTCTCCTCTACAATCAATGTGGGATAGAGGTTTTACACATTTTCCAACACTTCTTTCATGAGGCAAATTTAGTGAGTCAATTTCTTATTCAAACCTTAATGATTTTTGGTCATTTTTTTTGTGGTGTAAAGATTTTACTACAAAGAATCTAAACCCGCTTTACTCCACCTCAATTGAGGATTGACACATGCTTTAATATTACATTAAAGTCACCAAAAAATCATTATTTTTTCAACAAGTTTTAAATTGAGAAGTTAAGGCATTGGTTATGCCATTTGAGATAGGGGATTGAGATGAGTCTACATCATGTCTCACATTAAACCAATTCTTTTTTTTCTTGGCAACAAAGACCTGTTTAGTTTGTATTATTGATATCAGATACTTCAAGAGTGGAAATGAAAGTGCTTGTTATTAGTCTTGTGAAATCTTTTACAAGTAGGAATGGCAACGGGCCGGGGCCGGGCTGGGGATCACACTACCCATCCCTGATCCCTGATGATGAAAATTTTCCCGTCCTCGACCCCGATCCCCGATAGGGAACCTATTACCAACCCCGTCCCCGCCCCCGCTCCCTAACGGGGATTGGGTTTCTCCGACCCCGAAAATTCCCTCGCTCAAGAAGCTCAATTCCAATTCAAAAACATCAAATGCAACCAAACCCAGTTCAAAAACCTCAAATTCAAACAAACTCAGTTCAAATCCTGCCAAGAAATCCTTAACTGAATGATTTATGGATTTCTTCTCCATTTACAGTCAAAACCCCCAATAAAAAAACAAAAAAAAAAACATACATACATACAGATCCAAAACCAGAGATACAAACTTCATCAAAAAAATGAAAAACGAAGGAACCCAAAAAAGTGTACCTACATACAAATGTACACAACAAATCCAAAACATATATGCATACCTACATACAAAAAAATGTACGTATGTATACAACAGATCCAAAACCAGAGATAGAGAGTAGTGGCAAGATCTCACGGTGGCGAGGGGTAGCACGGTGGTAGTGGCGTCGGAGGAGGCAACGACATTGGAGGACGTGATGACTTCGGATGCAAGAGAGAGAGAGAAAGATCCACACCATAGATCGTGAGAGAGAGATTGTTGCTGTTAGAGAGAGAGAGGACGCACATCACCACAGTGGTTCATCTCTTTGACATTAGAGAGAGAGAGAGGAGACGAAGAGAAGAGAGAATTGGGCTTGTGAGAGAGAGAGAGAGATGGGTTTGTATCAGCCGTCCCGTGAGTGAAGTGAATAGACACACACACACACATATATATATATATATACGGGGCTGTTCGGGGATGATTCGGGGTCGGGGCTGAAGAACCTATCCTTGTCCCTGGCCCGAAAATCATTGGGGATTAATTTTTCAATACCATCCCCGGCTCTATGGGAGTGATTTTCGGGAAAACCCAATTTATCAGTGCACTCTAGTTTTGAGTGCCTATTTTGTGTTTTCTTTTGTCATGTTGCCATGCAAGAGGCGTTTGGAATTTTTGATTTTATGTGTGATGGGATAGCTCTTTTTGTTTCTGAATCTGTTCATGGAGAACTAGTTTTGGGATCGATGTTGACCTGTTTGATCCCCATAGTTTCTTCATAGTGGATATTCAAACCTGTCAACCTTGTTATTAGGACCTATATATATATATATATGGCTGTTAATCTTCTTCGATTTCTCAAGGTTCTCCTGTCAGTTTTTGTTGGGGGTTTTCGGGAAGATTAGAGAAAATGGTTTTCTGGTAATCCTATTATTAAATATTATTAAAAGTTGCACTGACTACGTGTCTATATGGAAAGGGAGATAATGATCAAGAGCATGCAAATTAGCATTTCTGGTGTTTCTTTTTATTTGTATTGTAATTTGTAATACCATATTGCACTAATTTTACTTGCTATAAGTTTTCATGGCTCAGTAGAGGAAATGTTGGTGTAAAATAACTGATGTATTATTATTGATTTGTATTAATTACAAGATTGATATGTGTATATTGATTACAACTCCTATATATAGAAGAGAAGGTAGCAGATTGTGGTGGTGCTGGTAGGGGGTGAAGTGGAGGTGGTAGGTAGAGTGGGTTAGGTTTAGTGGAGTTGAGTGGGTGTAGTGGGTTAGGTTTAGTGGTACATTAACAGTTGGTTTGCTAATGTCATTCTATCAGTCCATGCAGCATACAGTCTAGCTATTTGTACATCCCTATGACTTTTTGTAGGTGTTGCTTTTTTAGAATAAAGCTTGGTAGCTCGAGATTATCGCAGTTGGATTGCCCCGAATTGCAAAACGACGTCGTTTTGCTTTTTTTTTTTCTTCTCCTTTTTCCTTCTTCAAACTAATTTCAGAGAAAGAGGAACAAAGAAGCGAGAGAAAGAGAGGAGGAAGAGAGGAGGAGCAAAAAAGAGAGGGGGAAGCTTGATCTTCGGAGAGGGGGAAGCTTGTTTTGATTTTGATTCTCTCATATCCAACTCTCCTCTCTCCTCTCTCTCTCTCTCTCAAACAACGATTGCCACACCACCACCACCAACGATCTAACCACCATCACCAATGATCAACTCTTTCTCCCCGATGTTAACCCTCATCCTACTCACCTTCTCCAGATCTAGTTCATGATTTGGGTGGGCAACGGTTGAGATTCTTCTTCTTTTCTTGCAATATACTTGGCAGAAATTCTTCAAAGAACATGTGTACAAATTTCAATTTTGGGTGATTTATGAGGTGGGTTTATGAAATTTTGGATATTTAAAGTGTTGAAATTGAAACTACCAGCATGAAGAAAAGCAATATTTTCAAATACATGGACCATGTTTGGACCCACACCATTTCCAACCTTCAGCTTTCTCTTTGCTCTCTCCCCTGTTCCTCCACTTTTCTTTGCTTTAATGACTGTACCATACTCACAAAGCCATTAAAAAAGTTTCAGACTTCTTATTTTGTTTTATTTTTTTTCTGGGTTTGTGATGATATGCTTGGAATGTTAAGAAACTTGATTTTGATTTGGTTTCAGAAAGAACAAGAAAGAACAGAGGGAGAAAAGGAAGGAAATAGAGAGAGGGGAGGAAAACAAAAACAAAAAAAAAAAGAAGTGTCAAAACGATATTTTGACACTTCGAGCCATTCGGAGCAGAGATAATTCGAGTTACCTAGCAGCTCTGGCTTTTTTAAGTTTCTTCTATATCTAGAGGAGTAGTTTTGATAAATCAAATCAAATCAAATCAAACTAAGTCTTAAATCCCATCAAATAGTGTCGGCTAAAGTTATAGTTTTGATATTATAAGAAATTAGTAATTAATTGATTTTTTTTTTGTGTCAATCTCCCTACTTTTTAGAGAGATTTGAAATAAGGATTGTAAGAGAAACAAGTCTATTTATTCTCATGTCACTCTAGTTCTCCCCTCTTAACTAATCCAAACAAGCGATATAAATCAACATGAATGTGTTTCTTTCTAAATCACCCAATCCAAACAGGTTGTTAGCCGGGTATGATCCGTTCGTGGGAACAGGGTCTGATCCGACAGGTAATGTCTGTTGATGGGAAGACCAGTTGGTTTGTCTGTGGAATTTGGGTAGTTATTTAGACATGTTTATTTTGCCTGGTATTTAGACATGTTTATTCTGCCTGTCGCGCAATGCAACTTTTCCTTCACCTTGTTCTGGCCTCCAACTGATTGTAAAAATATATTCGAAGACAATTTTTGTTAAATGCTGCCAAGTTTTGTGAAATAGGATTTACATTTATATTAACTAGTGATAATAGGACTTCAGCTGAACAACATATTGCTGGAACTGGAGTCATCTGCCTCCATTTATTTATGGTCTGAAACTGAGAATGTTATGGACTCAACCACAACCAACTTCTTTTTCTTTCCTTCATTTTTTTCCCCCCAGAATCTGACTAAATTTTTTTTTCTTTTTTTTTTAATTATTATTATATATATAAATGTCCATCAACATTGTGTGTAGCTTTATAGGATTGACAAGCATACTTTCTTTGCAAAAATTCAAAATTGCATTAATATCTTATGAAACTGTTTTTAGCATGGCATTGTACTCATGAGCAACAACGTGCACTAACACTCTTTTTAGATCGTACAATGAGAAAAAGAAAAGTAATAATTGAGATCTCTCATCTAGGTGGAAAAGGAAAATAAAGAGTAATGATTCATCCCCCTTTTTTTCCCACCCCCTTTGACCCCCTCTCTCTCTCATTGGTTACCTTTTCTTTTTCTTTTTTTTCCTGCTCCTCCAATCACCCCCTGCCACGTGGCAAGGGGGGGTGAGGGGGTCCCAAGCATTATTCATAAAATAAACCAAATGAAATAGTTCACTTTCTCACTATTTCTCACCCACCTTGTGAACCAAACATGGAAAAAAAAATTGTCTTTCTCATCATTTCTCACTCAATCACCCCACGTAAAGCTCAAACAAAATTGTGGCTGGCTCTTGGGGAGAAGCAGTTGGCGAATGAGACATTTTCATCATTTTAGTAAATATCTGATTGTTCATACTAGAAAGATTTCAAACATCATTAGCATCCATTCTCAAAACAATACCAATTGGATTCAACATTTGAACAAACATAATAGTACCAACTGAAACAGATCTCTTGAAAATGGCAAAATATATCATGTAGTCTACAGAAAAACATACCCACAACTTCCAAAAACTTAAAACTAGGTTACTTCAAAACTTAGAACTCAACTGATGCCACATGTTTAAGACTAACCCCCAATATTCTGGGACTTGTTGAGGATCACACCCTCATATTTGACCTGGAACCACTTCATGGCATCGTCCTTTGTGACCCTGTGCTGAATTCCAACACGAGACTTGCACCTACGGCGACGCCCAACACGATAGCCCGGGCGTTCTAAGACAACATAGAAATCCATTCCATAAATGCCAGTGGAAGGATCATACCTGGAAAATAAAATTTCGAAGTCAAACAAAGAAAGAGAATGCAAAGAAAAATAATAATAACAATAACGGAGAGGTACCAAAGTTCCAATGCCGCATCCCTATTTATGAATAAAAAATGAAAACTTATTTGAAGAAGAACCCTAACTGAATTAAGTGCATAAATACTGACAAGCAAAAAGCATACTAATTTGCAAAACAGAACTAGATGAATGCCTCTAAAATCATAGTCGGATTGAAGAATTCTGTACATTCGCTGCCGTTAATGTGGAAATAATAAAAAAATAGTGAGAATATCAATGCACTTCTCATATTCCCATACACATTTACATATTTCCATATCTTCACACATTTCTATAGCTTTTTTACTTGGCTTTTTCCTTCAAAAACATATCACCTATGTCATGGTCTATTCCGTCCTTGACGTTGTCAAGGGTGGCAAGAGATATCACATAAAGCTAACAGCTTGTGGTAACGTGAACTAGTTTTGTTGACAAGGTATAACTGCATCAGAAACAAAAGCATAAGATAACAAAAACTTTAGCAAATTTTAAAGATCACTACTCATATAAAACATTTCCAAGGAGACATAGTAGTTAGGATAGGTAGAAGTCAGAAGTTTGAATGATTCTACTAGAAAACCTAACTTAAATATTTTTTTTCTTCTAAAACACAACCTGTATTACCCTTTTAAGTGATTGACTGAAACAACTAAAATATAAGCTCTTTTTTTTTATTGTTTTTTTTTTCCCTTCTATTTTCCTTCCCTCAACAAATACCCTCTCAAATCCTTGATCCAAACATGGGCTAAAAGAAAAAGAACTCCCTATGCATCAGTCCAAATCCAAATAATTAGAAGCGATTAAATTCATCTTCTAGATCATATACACCACAGCTCTACCAAACAAATCCCAAAGTACAAACAAGATTTCTCATTAGTGCACTAATATGAAAACCAAATCAATGCATGAGTACATCATGTACAGCATGGTATGGAGAACACACTACACACATGATCTTATCATTTATAACTTCACTAAAGCCTTCAGTCTTCAACAATTCAATATGAAAATATCAACTGGCAAATCAGACAGTGAGAAAACCATGTAATGAATTTAGTATCTTTCCAATATCTTGCATATGAATAATCGTGGAATATATAGTCAAGTGAAAAGAAAGTAATATATGCCATAAGTTGTATAGTCAAGAATAGATAATAAGACTATAAGACCTTGTCAAGCCTGTCTATTAGTCTGGCACCATCACCTTGTACACCAAATCAATCCAAATACTATATGCTCAGAATCTCAGATATAACTATCAACTACATAACGAGATAACTATGTTTAAATACTTATTCTACGTAGAGAATGACTACAACAAATATTGCTTAAATATATCGGCTTACTTAATTCCGAGATCAATGTGCTCCTGAATACCAAAGCCAAAACAGCCAGTTTCACTGAAGTTCCTTCGCAGCAGCTCATATTCCTTCACCTTCAATCCACTCTCCAGGAGTTGCATTGCCTTCTCACCTCTGACTGTGACATAGCAAGCAATCTTCTCATTACGCCTGATCCCAAAGGACCTTACAGTATATCTCGCTGTCAACCAGAATAAACCAGATAAGAAAATCACACAACAAATCACATAGCCCACTTATTAGAGGCCAAAAAAATTGAAACATCAATTTCCAGTTTGTTCAATTTAAATAAAATAAACCAATTGAACTGAGTCAAATGCTTTGCTTTAAGCTCTATTAGCAAAGGCTACTAATTTTCATTTCAGATTTGATTAATTTACACATTCAAAAACAAAACAAACAATCAAGTCTTTCTAATTATTATTATTATTATTATTATTATTATTATTTTCCCTTGGCAATCAAACATATGGTAGAAGCCTAAAGGTGTTATTTAGCTAACCACAATATGAACAAGTTGAAGATTACATTTCATTAGCAAGCAATTAGAAGATAAGCTTAAACTTGTATATTTTATCTAGCTAACCAAATCACGAAAGAGTTCGCCAATTACAGTATAGAAAGCAAGTCCAACAAAAATTGTGCATTTAGTTTTTTAGGTTTCAAATAGTGAAAAAGAAATATAACAAACCATTTTGTAAACTAGGTCGGAAAAAAAATGATAAGAATATGGTTTCTCACCAAGGTGAAATGATTGGGGTTTCTCACCATTGTGTTTGGATGAACAACAAATAAAATGGACAACTATTTAAAATATAGGTATTTTGATATTATACAGCAACTTCCCTCACCAATTATAGTGAAAAACAAAACACAAGTTTCAGGAGAGTTCTATTTCTCACAATTTCTCTCCATTTCTCATCTATCTGATCATCCAAACAAGTAATCTCTCTCTCTATTTATTTTCTTTTTTCACCAAACCCCTCAATTCAAATGGTGGTTAACCATCTCCAATCCTTCACCTTTTCTTTCATCAAATTTAAATTTGATGAAAAAGTGCTTAAAAATCATCTCCAATCCTTTCATCAAATGTTCATCATATCAAGGGAGGATCATTTTTTTCATCAAATTGAGAATTAATCAAATTTGCTCTCTATTTATTTTCTTTTTTCACCAAACCCCTCAATTCAAATGGTGGTTAACCATCTCCAATCCTTCACCTTTTCTTTCATCAAATTTAAATTTGATGAAAAAGTGCTTAAAAATCATCTCCAATCCTTTCATCAAATGTTCATCATATCAAGGGAGGATAATTTTTTTCATCAAATTGAGAACTAATCAAATTTGATTTTGACAAAAATTTAAAAACATGAAGCATTGGTTGGATATGATTTTTTTTTTGATAAATAAAGCATTGGATATGATTTGTTTCATCAAATTTGATAAAAAGTGAAATTTGAGATGAGAAGGTAATTTTTTAAAAGATTTTGATCAAAATTTGACGAATGGATTGGAGTAGTTCATATCATATCAAGTTTTTTACTCAAATTTAAAATCAAATTAGATGAAAATTTTAATGAATAATTGGAGATGGTCTAAGGAGGCGTTTCTTAAGAACCAAATAAATAATAACTTCTACTTCCCTAAATTTCCTCAGCATATTGCCACAAATAAAAATAAAATCATCCACCAAATCAGAATTGCTAATAACCAATGAAAATAACAAAAGTAAGTAAAAGATGGAAACTAATGCATAACTTTGTCTCTCTCAAGGAAGCCAAACAGATGTATTACGAATCAGACTGGTGGATGTTAACTAAAATCACTTATAAATAAAACGTCAAAATTTTCTTGGCAGCCAAACAAACATAAATTGAAATTTTAGAAGTTCACCTTTGGAGAAAACAGGGGCTTGCCCACTAAGTTGCTCCAACACCTGTAGAGAATGATTAATACGGAATTGAAATTTTTTTTTAAAAAAAAAAAAATTAGGTTCAATCCGCAATTCGAGTCAGCACTGGGAGTGATGAGAATAAAAGTACCTTAGCGGCTCTGGTGAGGCGATCTCCACTTTCGCCAACGGAGATGTTGAGGACGAGCTTCTGGACCTTGATCTCCCTCATCGGGTTCGATAGCTTCCTCTCCGAAGCCTGCTTTTACAAATACATATATCCATACATATGAATGAATAAGAGTGATGTAACAGACAAATAAGAGAGAGAGAGAGAGAGACCATGGCTTGAGGTTGAGGTTGCAGAGGCAGATGTGGGTAATGCGACGGGGTGAGGCAAAATGAGGAAGAAACCCTAATATGGGATAGAGGGAGTGAACTAGGGTTAGGGTTTTGATCCTCTTGGGTTTCAAAATTACAACAATGCCCTTTTGATGTTGTAATTTAAATATATTCATTTCACATTTTTTTTGATAAGAGTTATGTTGATGATTACATAATAAAATGTCAATAAGAGATATATTAGGCTAAAAATGATAATTTCAATGTAGCATTTTTCACTTTATTTTTATATATTTTAATACGTTTTTGGAAAATATTTTGTAGTTCGAAACATTTTCTCCCGAATGGCTCGATTTTCGGAAACGACGTCGTTTTGATTTTGATTTTTTTTTCTTGTTCTTTTCATTCCACTTCTCGTTTCTCTCATAAAGGTTGAACCAAACCCAGAAAGAAAGAGAGAAATAGAGAAGGAAGAAGAAAGGAAGAGGAGGAAGAAGACGATGATGGCGGAGGAGAAAGATGTTGATGGCGATGATGATGTATTGATAGTGATGATGTTGCTGTTGATGAAGATGTTCGCCGATGATGATGTGTTAATGGTGATGATGTTGATGAAGATGTTGATTATTATTATTATTTCAATTTTTTTTTTTTGAAAATCAACACCAAAAATTGCAAAAAAAAAAAAAAAAAAAAACAAATCTGATATGTTCATCATCATCAGATCTGTTCATCATCTTGCTTCAATTTTGTGGTGAGTTTGGTAATTTTTAGAGAGAGAAAATAGAAGAAGAAGATGAAGGAGGTTCTGGTTTTGTTTGTTAGAATGAGTTCTTATGTTGAGAGAAAAGAGAGGAACGAAAAAAAAAAAAAAAATTTGAAAACGACGCCGTTTTTCATATTCGAGCCATTCGGGGTAGCCAAGTTTCGAGTTACCCAGCAGAACCGTACATTTTTTATAAGGTTTTATAACAAATATCTTAGTACATACAAAAAAGACAATATATTATTATAAAATAGATATTTTTACTAATTTTAAAACAAATATCTAAGAACAAATTATTGCTTGGTTAGGTTTTTCAAAAAGTACTTTTCAGAAAATTTTACATTTTTATTTTCCCTGTTTTTTGTTTTTACTAATTTTTTAAAATATTTTGACAAGTTTTTTTTTACTTTTTAGACATACCTAACATAAATATACTTAAAAAGTAAAAAATTTGTGAAAAAAAACCTTTTAAAAATTCACTAAATGCCAAAAATACAAAAAAATATAAGAATTCAGTACATTTTTTTTATATTTTTACGTATTTATTAATTTTTTAAAATTTTTTTTTATAAATTTTTTACTTTTTAGATACATCTAAGTAAGGTGCATATAAAAAAGTAAAAAAAAATGTTTAAATATTCACTAAAAACAAAAAAATGAAAACCAAAAAACTTAATTTTTAAAAAATTTAATCCAAAAAACTCAAACCAATTACACTATTTGCCTATTTTATGTATTAATTGATAATTAATATTATGGAGGGCAAAATTTTCTCATATTTTATAGAGAACAAAATGAGCCTTAAGCTTGAAAATCCTGTAACAACAGTACAATCGCAAGGGCTGCTCCATCGTAGGTTTTCGATCTAGAGACCAATTTGCCGAAAGCAAAAAAAGAAAAAACAAAGCAAGTGTGTTTTTTGTGTAGAGATTAGTGCATACCTTATAATTTTTATAATTTTGTTGGATATGATCATTAGCTATTATCCTTCCACTTAAAGTCAAGTTTGGCATAATCTAAATAATACAAAAAGTCACTATCTTATTTAAGTCACATCATCTTATTTAAATCGCATCACCTCTCTAACACATTACATTAAATCCAACCCATATAAATTAATAAGTCAAAAAATACACTTTTTTAGAACATCCCAAATCAACCCTTACTCAAGGTTGAAATAACGATCTAGTTGTGACTGCATAGTGTTACTTTGTCGATCGTTACTTTATTTGATTCAATCGATGCTATGTCTTTCCTTTCTTGAATATTAGCTCCCTTTGATCCGGAAAATGATATTTTCCTTCGGAAGAGGGAAGAGCTTTGTGTTGCACCATTTCCATTCCAAAGTTGGCGCTGGTTAGACTTTTTGTTGTAAACCCTCTATTTGGACCCATTTTGGCATAGTTTAGTCAAAGTAGTTTTTTGTGTTTTTTTTTTTTTTGGCCCCCCACAAATATTAGTGAGAATATTTAAGCAATCATTATTATCATTTTCTTCCAATAATATATATTTAGTTGAATAATTAAATTATTTTTTATTTTTTTAATACATGCAACAGTTAATTATGTTAATAGGGAAAGTGGAATGGTAATAGCGAGCTTATAATCTCCATTGAGAGGAGGCCAAATAGGCACTTTGATTTTTAGTGTAGTGATATTAAGTTGAATATGTAAAATAAATAGTATTTATTTGTATACAATCGTGGTGGTAGTAATTTATTGAGATTAAGGCCAAGTTTGGGTACTTCCAAAAAAGTTAAAAAGTCAAAAAGTTACTTAAAAAGTTAAAAAGTTAACACTATTCACCAAAAGTCAACATTGTTTTTTTTTTTTTTGGCCCCCACAAATATTAGTGAGAATATTTAAGCAATCATTATTATCATTTTCTTCCAATAATATATATTTAGTTGAATAATTAAATGATTTTTTATTTTTTTAATACATGCAGCAGTTAATTATGTTAATAGGGAAAGTGGAATGGTGATAGCGAGCTTATAATCTCCATTGAGAGGAGGCTAAATAGGCGCTTTGATTGTTAGTGTAGTGATATTAAGTTGAATATGTAAAATAAATAGTATTTATTTGTATACAATCGTGGTGGTAGTAATTTATTGAGATTAAATATATAAATTTATGTAAAAATCTTCACTATATATAATGGGATTTTATTCTTTTGTAAAATAGGTGTACAAGGATATTATCATCTCTAATCGCATGAGATTAGATTTTGAATACTACTAATTCCCTGTACGATTGCTAATCACCCCTTTGGGGGATTTGTAGTCCTATGAGAATTTTTAATCTCAAAGCATGTTTTTGCAAATAAACATGATTTATGTGGACTTACAGGATTACAAATAAAATCCCGCTACCTAGAGTAAAACAAACATAGCCATAGTGTGATGGTATGTTTTTTTGGTTTAGAGGAATTGGTAGTGTGATGGTATTAATTAGTTAAAATTAAATTCATAAAATTCTATAAAAACTTTCATTATATAAAATATGAATTTGTTATTTTGGTAACGTACGGGGTAAAAATAATATTAGCTTATTTTAAGAAATGGATTACAAGTCACTTTTTTCTCTCACAAAAATACTAAAAAAAAAATTAAAAAACAGCTTTAAATAGTCTATTGTACATCCAAACAAGTCTGGCCCTGGGAGTAGGCAGCCACCTACGCAACAAACTGCCTTTTTTTTTTTTAATTGAACTGAGGCAACTAACCCCCACATTTTGTGTCACAACAAGGGCCCCCAATTCAGTAAGCCTTCATAGTATTAGAAAAAAAAGGGCCCAATCTAATTACTAATTGAGCCCAACCTAACTACTTAAGTATTTAAAAAAAAAATTTGTATATAAGTCTATTTTTTAGATTCATTTTTTAAATTTAATAATGTATAAGTGATATAAGTGATTAATGATTGAGAAGATATCAGAAAAAGTGTTGAATAATTATATTTTCACCCAAATAATAACTTAGTACGCTCAATTAAAATTTTTAAATTTTAATTCTTATTATATCCTAACATAAATTTACTAATAATGACCATATACATTAAATTCTAAAATAAAATATTATTTTTTTTCTTATGGTATATCCAAATCACTTATACATATTTTTCATATTCAACTATTTTTATCTTCTTCTCCCCGTTTCAATTTTTCTTTTTTCATCTTCTTCCTCATTCCAAAATTCTAATTCACCCTACTAAAATTCACTATTATTATTAATATCATTGTTTCTTATTATGCTATTATTTGTAAATAAAAAAAAATTGAGAAAATTAAACAATGAATAAAAAAAATAATATATATATATATATATATATGTATATTTTGGTTAGAATGAAAATGAAGATATTATATACAGTCGAAGCACAATAAATAGCACCACCCTCACTCCTTAGAGGACCTAACAATCACGAACGAGGGACACTCTCCTTAATACAGCACCCACTTCCATTAATCCCAAACTTAGCCATCAAATGAGCAACCTTATTCCGAACCCTTCTGCCAGAGCACACCTGGTACTCTGCGAACAACATTCCTAATTGAAGCTGTGTGGGTGATTTTCTGACCACACTGCCAACTTAGTACTCAACTGGAGAACACCGGCAGAATAGATTAAGCCCAAACGACCTGCAACAGAAAGATGAGAATCCCGCGGTGGCTCGTCCACCCGGGGGCACTCCGACGATCAAGTCAGTACTCAATATCTCTCAAAGATAACCAATAGTGCTTAACTCATTAGACAAAATATTAAAAACATAAAAGATATACCTTAAACCCATGAGGGTGCCTCTCTTTTATAGCCAACATAATCCTAGTCCCAATAGAAGCCTAGCTCCAATGGACTTAGGATTACTGCTAATCTTGAACTCCCAGTTGAATTAGGATAAACTCTCTAAGAGTCTCATCTTTACCCAAACTGAAGCCTTCTATCATTTTAGGACTCTTGTCCCTTATCCGCTTTATCTCAGATTTCGGCATCTTCGCAGATAACCTCGGCTTAGCCGAGATCATCTCGGCATCATGACCATGGCACGTGGCACCTCGGTCGACACTCCGGTGACACTTCGGTCATGTGTCGTCATTCAAAAAATATGTCCCCACAACTGCCCCTTAGGTTCTATTACATCGGCATCCTAAGGTGATGGAACATATATCATTCCTTCCTTTAATCATGACCCCGGTTTAACTTCAACTTGTAAACTTTTTTCAAGTTTCAACAAGTGTTAAACATCATCTCGAGTGTTAAACATAATCTCGGTTTAACTTCAACTTGTAAATTGTCCACAAATTTCAACAAGTATTAAACACTGATCTCGGTTTAACTTCAACTTGTAAATTGTCCACAAATTTCAACAAGTGTTAAACAATGATCTTGGT